CTAGAGTGACCAGACAAGCACTCAGTCACACACAACACACAGGCCTATTAATAGAATTTTGTGATCATGAAGACTAATGATAAACAGGCAAGCAGGGAAACAGGAAAAAGAAAAGTAGATTACAACAGCAAATCAACATAAGTGGGTTAATTAAAGCAACAATTGTTTATTGAAACAGAGCCCAAGGCTATACATATCTATTTTCTTAATAACAACTGTACATATCCCTAAGCTTAACTTGCAATACCTGAACAGGGTTCAAACCAGTGCATGTACATTTCAGTCATCACATAAAACTATCCACAGAACTGGAGAGACAGAGACAATTTTATCTTCTGCCTCTATGAATATTAATTGTTATCTTCTGCCTCTATGAATAAAAATTGTCTGACTAAATTTAACCATAAATCTTCTATGCTTTAAAAAAAACGTTCTGATACTATGCAATCATATTTAAGCGTAATTGCACATGATTTTTTTGAAAGATATTAATACTTTTATTCAACAAAGATGCATTCAATTGATGAAAAGTAATAGTAAAAACATTTACAGTGTTAAAAATATTTATATTTCAAATAAATATTATTTGTATTCATCAAAGAATCCTGGAAAAAAAATGCATCAGTATCCACAAAAATATTAAGCAGCGTGACTTTTTCCAACTGTGACACTGTAACAATAAGAAATATTTCTTGTAATAATTGTAAAAAAAAATGTAGTAGTATTTCGCAATATTACTGTTTTTACTATATATGTTTTGATCAAATAAATGCAGTTTTGGTAAGGGACTTCTTTGAAACAAAAAATACCATAGAAAACATGTGCATTTCTTTCTTTTATGGAACACAAAAGAAGATGTTTTGAAAGTCAATGGGGTCCAAACGACTTCCAGCATATGGACAAAAAAGACAAGAGAACTTTTTCTTCATTATTGATTATTGATTTTCAAAGAAGAAAGAAATATTTGGATATATGAATATAAGATTTGTAACAGCGAGTAAATGATGACAGAATTGCCATTTTTGGGTGAACTACGTATATCCCTTTAAGTGACAGAAGCTCATACAGAATCTGCATCCGCAGAACTCAGCAAAAAATATCCACACATTTTAATTAGAATATCCATAATTCACAAAGTTCTACACAACTCCCACCCTTTGCATGTTAATTTAATAAATATTTTGCATAATTTGATTATACATGTAGCTATAACAGTAGCCAAGTTTTCATCCACTTCTTATGCTGTTATTATATCATGAAAATGCATTTTAAAAAGTTTGCAAAATTTTAATCCATTTTGGCCTTTAACCAATAAAATGGTGTGCATAAAAAAATAAATTGTCACACAAGAAAACAAAACAAAAACATATGGAAAGAGACATTGATTCAATATCTGATTTTAGTTATAAAGGTCAGTATCAGTCATTTTTCAAATGTTGTATCAACATTCACAATTTGTTGTTATTAACTGGTTTCCAGCTTTTTTAAAACAACATTTTCACTCTGAAATAACTTAATCTGAGTGTGTTACAGTTTTACGCTGTGCAAAAAAACCTTGTTTGTTTTCAGTTTTTGTTTTCATTCCTTGAACCACTTTTATTCCTGAGAGAAAAGCTGCCCCAAAATGACTTGGCTTATACAACTGTAATAGGCAACGTAAAGTTCATGGAACCATAACAATACCGGTTGTAGTAAAAATTTGAGTAAAATGAGTAAAAAAAAAATTCAAATGTAGCCTACATTTTTTGTTAGATCATTTCACTGTGTATGAAGTTCGAAGTAATTCTGTCAAATAACATCATTTTTATCTGAGTTAAAGCCCTTTTCTCAACAAAAAGTGTTTCCAAACGTTTTTTTCCACAACATTTGAAGACTTTGCACAGTGTTGGGGGGTAACGCATTACAAGATTACCTTTTTTCAAGTAACTAGTAAAGTAATGGATTACTTTCAAATTTTGAACAGAGTATCTGTTACTTATTTGCATTGCTTATTTGAAAAATAATTAATTTTTTACGCAAGTTACTTTTTTTTCTCCATGAATGAACTGATGCGTTGTGTGCGCTGTGTGAACATGATGGTTATTGTAGTAAATGTAAGCAGGCATTTACTCATCTCACTTGCACAAAAACAGATTCAGTATTCCTCAAAATGAATAAAAACAGAAATTGCCTATTCAGAATATTACATTTTGTAATATGCCTTTACATTTTGTACTTTTGTTTTGTTTGTTTTTTGTTAAGAAACAAGCCCAGCCCAGGTGAGAAAATGTAACGCAAAAGTAATGTAACGCATTACTTTGCATAAAAAGTAACTAAGAAACGCAATTAGTTACTTTTTAGGGAGTAACGCAATATTGTAATGCATACTTTCCCCAACACTGCTCACAAAATTTTTACCAATAATAGCATTTCCATCAGCTATATTGGGGGGAAAAAATACTTGGATGAAAACTTGGCAAGTGTCTCAGCTCCATTTAACACATTTTACTATATTCAAATATAGAATTAACATAGATTTTCTCCCCCAAAATCTGCATAGAATATGTGGAGATATAGATTTCACCTGGGCCTATAACTTAACATAAGCATTAATACATTCTAATTTTCTCCATTACTCCCCAAAACAAGCAGGCTCTCTTTCAAAGGCACACCACTGGCAAACTAATTACAACAACAACAAAAAAAAAAAAAATAGAAGAAAAAAACCTGTCTGGCAACATGCTTTAGGTCAGGGTGCTTGTGTGATTGTTTAAGAATGAATGGAAGAGAGAAAAAAAGACATGCCTCAGTCATGACAACAATACTACAGTGTGTAAATAAATAATTTACCATAGTTTCTACTACACGCTTCTAAAACAGTGATGAAACACTAAAGGAACACAAAACATTAAAGTCTACAATTCAAACAGTGGCTGATGATAGATCCATGTGCTGTCCATGAGTCAACCCAGAGTTTCCCCATGCTGTGCAATCAAACATATTTTCTCTTATTACTTTCAAGCCACACCCTTCAAAAAAATAAATACAATCTTCATATGTTACTCCATTTCCATACATACAGCTAGCTAATATATTTTTGGTCTGTGCAATTGTGACAAATGTGGTATGTTACAAATTACGAAAGTGCTTCACATAATCCTTGTGTACCCTGATACAAAACAGTGCTTAAACTTAAATAGAAAATTAAAAATACAGTACATAAGAGAAACAACTTGAAAATGCTGCAGATTTTCAGCAGTTTCTTGTTTTGCAGTGGCTCTAGCAGGCATTCTGACATTCAATACAAAACACAATAGTTATTGGATTTGAGTTTTTTGCCCAAAATTCCTTTTTGTGTATGATATTGCCATAAGAGGTTATATGTGTTATAGGTATTTCCTTTCCCTTTCTAAATTGTGAAATGGCTCATCCAGGTTGCAGCCACTGGGCGCCACTGTTGTGTCTCTATCAGGTCCATGCTGGAGCCACTGCAGCTTCGTGTGGATTCCAAAAGATCGCCAGGTTCAATCAGCACACTGGGTCGGTGTTGCAGCTCTCCTCGTGTCCAAATGACCTTCTCTATCAATCCCTCTATATTCCCCCTCATGCTTTAATTTCAGCCCCAGGTCGATCTGTTTTCGGTCATTAAGTCTTTGACCTCGTTTCAATTTGATTGACCTGAATAAATCCCCCCCTGCACTGACTCGCACTTTAACAACTCAAACTTTAGCTTTCTCCTGCCTGACTCCATCCGAAAGTCCCTTCTCTACAAAGCTCCTACTTTTTGGAGGGAATTCACAAAAAAAAAGCTGCCGCCTTAAATTTTTAAGTATAATCAACTTAAATATAAGTCATTTGAACTTAAATTACATTAAACTGACTTTAAATAATGAGTTGAATCTTGTACAACTTATACAAAAAAAGTTGAAAATTGCTTACCTTATTTTGATGAGTTAAAGCAATGCAAAAACATTATGTTGTCATAACTTATTCATGTAATTTTGTTTTACAGCGCAAGAATGAATAATGAAACATCCAAGAAGCGGCTCTAGTAAAGCAAGTCCGTCTTCCAAATAAAAAAAGCCAAACTGCAAAGTCATCACTTGGTCTTTACGAAAGCTCTTGCTGTTTGTTGTCAGCGTCACTGCATCTGCTAACAGAAACGGCAATAAAGTGGTTGATGCCGTGGTATTTTACGCGTACAGTGTCGTAATGAGTTAGCATTTTTTTAACTTCTGGATTCATTGACCTGAAGCCAATAGGTTTTTTTGAATGGGTTCATGTTTGAATGGCTGTAATAAGGTCTGTGGTGAACACAAGCTCAAGATATTTTCACATTTTATTCTGACATAAAATACATCCATTATACCCCACTTGTGGTTTTTTAAACTTTAACATCTTGAAAAACGTAGCTGATAACAAGTGGCTGAATGGGACTACAGAGGTTGTGGGACATTAAACGTCATTACAGCAAACAGGAAAACTTGTGTTTAGACCCGTGCAAACTATTCTAAATCAAACTTTACATCTTGTAAATAAAGAATGAAAGAGTCAAACTTAATGGTGGTGGCACTAAAGTCATGCGTCCGCGGTGTTCATTTATAGCCTACGCTTAGCTTTTTGCTTCTGGCAATTGTATTTAGGCTTTAAAATTCATAAAAGTTGTGTTCATTTGTGAAGATTGTCATGATGAGCAAAATGTGGAAGAATGATTAACTTCTGTTGGTCACAGAGCTTATATTCTGCAATTATCCAAAAGTCAATGGAAAAATTCTATTGGCTTTTTGTCAAGGGAACCATAGTGATGCTAACTTCCGGGTTGGCCAACAAAAATACGTCATCCCCGCGGCCCTCTTTTGTCTGAACAAACCTAAGATATGAAATTTTTAGCTTATCATTATTGTCAGATTTTATTGCTGATTTGAACAATTTAATAGAAATGCAAGTTTGGTAAGCAGCTTTCGAGATTTCTGTGTTTCCTACTAGGAGTTGTATTTGAATGACTGAAAACAGCTGTGCTTCCAAGATGGCCGCTGAGTGTTTTGCCTTGAAAAGTCTAAACAGGATTACAGGGAGTTATAAGCTGAAATACTGCACTGATGAAACCGTTTAGTGAATTTGCCCCACTGTCTCACTATGTTGCTCTTTGGTTCTCTTCTCACAGGTGGTAAGAGGCCCCTTTCCCTTTTCTATTCTCCATCTTTTGTGCATTCTGTCTTTTCTCACCCCATCGTAAGCATGACCTTTTGTCATTAATCAGTCCTACATTTTCCCTTTATGGTGCTCTTTGCCTTAGTCCCCTGTCCAAGTCTGTCTTTCCAGGCCTTTGTCCATTTGCTGGTTCTCTCTCTCTCTCTCTCTCTCTCTCTCTCTCTCTCTCTCTCTCTCTCTCTCTCTCTCTCTCTCTCTCTCTCTCTCCCTACCCCCAGTTCCAACTCCTCCCTCCATCCTGAACCCTTTCCTTTCTTTCTCTACCTTCTTTTCTTCCTTTGACCGCTGCTTTCCCCGGTGCCCTTTTATTCCAGCCACATGGCTCAGTGTATGTGTGGGTGCTCGCTGCAGGAGTCTTGTCGAGGTGGTGGTGTGGGCCGAACGAAAGAGGGTGAGGGAGAGGGGGAAGAACAGGGGGATGGAGAGAATTGGTCAGGACAGGAATGGACAGAGGAGGAGAGCTGCAGAGCCACTTCGTTCTCGTAACAAAAGGAGGAACGGGAGCCCTGGATGTACTTTTTCTCTGCTAACTCTTTAGCGCTGCAGGTTGGCGTGTCCGTGACCTCATAAGTCCTGTTGAAGTACGAGTAGTCCACCTAGAGGCGGGGAGGACGCATGACAAGTACTAAGCATAACTACATGTGCATTTCAAATGAAAAACCAGTACAGATTATTGTTTTATAAATGCAAGGAATGCAAAAAGTGCTGCACGGGGTGTAACTTCAGTATTTCGGTGCTCTTTGGGTGTGGGGATGGTTCCTTGTCACCTGGCTTGTCACATGTTTTTCAAATCTAAGCCATGAAAGAATAAAGGCTTTTTATATTTTTCTAAAAACTAATTACTCAAGTGCCTTTGATCGTTTTTTCTTATGAGTAGATTATTGTTTTAGTTAAGTCTAGTTTTAAGTTTTGGTTCTACATAAAAGAGAGATGCTTTTTTTGTGTGTGTGCAGGAGAATCGACACATACATACGCAACACCATCTTTGAGCATAAATGTGGCTATAAGGTTCTGGTATCAATAGCTATGTTTCCATCCAAAGTTGCGAATTTTGCATAAACATTTGCAAATAAAGCACCGTCCATCCAATGAGACGAAGAGAACAAAATAATCTCTTCCTTATAAACTGGCGCTAAATATTACCAAGAAAAATGGAAGTTGCTGCAGTAGAAGAAGCCACTGTATATAATAATTTAGTATATAATAAATGACTTGCGCCTCAGAGCGCGCAGACGAAACGTAATAAAATGATCTTGCGTTCGGAGGCGGATGCTGCTGTTTGGGAACACAGTCGAGTAAGACACTTCTGGGAGGAAACTATACCGAACCACTTTGATGACAGATTTTGCTCAGGCATTTCAGAACAACCAAAACAACATTTCGAATGCTGTGCAACGAGATTGGTCAGCTGATTGGTCCAATTATGCCGTCCCATTGCAAAGTCACGTCTTTTTTGATGCGCATCGAGGAATTTATTCGGTAAATGTGTTTCCATAGTTTATGCGCATGTTTTCTTACCGACTTGATTGAGCGCATACTTTTTCCATGCGCATTTTTGAGTTTACACGCATTTTGCCGTTTCCATCCAGGCGTGTTTTTTTATGCGAATGATGGATGAAAACATTGCTATTAGCTCCTATTTATTTAGAATGTCGGATTGAGAATGGAATGTATTTTCATTCCAATACAATTTTCATTCCATTTCAGTTTAAAGAATTGCACATTTGAATTTAAGGAAGTAAATTTGTCAAAACAGTCTTTGGGCCTTATCTTGCACCCGGCGCAAATGACTTTGTACACTGACGCATGTATCATTCCTATTTTGCACCCGCGCAAAGCGGACTTTTCCCTCCACAGACACACGTCGGTTAACTAAGAAATACACTTGCGCTCCCCGGGGCGGTTCAGCGCAAAGAGGAGGCGTGTTCCGGCGCAAACTTTCCCTCATGCTATTTTGCTGTTCTATAAAACAATTGCGCCACTGACCAGAAAAAACCTAGTCTAAAGTCAGTGGCGCGTTGCGCGTTGTTCATTATGCTATTTTAAGGGCGCATGCTTGGCCATAATCAATGTAGCGTGTGCACGACAACGCGCATACACTTTGATTCTCTCATCTAAGCAGCAGTTTTCATTTTTGCAAATCATTATTACTATAGATAGATAGATAGATAGATAGATAGATAGATAGATAGATAGATAGATAGATGATAGATAGATAGACAATTTATTATAAAAGCATAGGCCTACATGTAGCTTACACATTTACCCAAATTATCATACGTCTGTTTAACAGAAGTAAATTTGGGTGGGTTTCTCCATGCCCAATGTCACTTCTCTGTGTTTTACGGCCCTGACGAAAACGTTGCTCTCCTCGGCTGTGAACCGCTCCTGGCAAATCCGCCGTTATAATAGGAATCCGCTTTAGAACAAGCGCGCCTGCTCTTAAAGGGAATGTGAGATGACGCTCTGATTGGTTTATTTCACGTTACGCCCAAACCACACCTATGAATAATGAAGCTACTTCAGACCAACCCCTTTTAGATTTGCGCCAGGCGCAAGAGGCATTTATCCCACCGGGAAAATAGCAACAGCGCCGGGATCCGCCCACAAAGTTACTTGCGCTTTGACACTTGCGTTTCAGATCGTTAAAATAGGGCCCTTTAAATGTTAATGTGACAATGCCTTGTTTGAAAGATAGATAGATAGATAGATAGATAGATAGATAGATAGATAGATAGATAGATAGATAGATAGATAGATAGATAGATAGATAGATAGTCAATACAATGCCTTACAAACACTGTAATGAGTCCCATCTGGTACTTCTTCATTTACAACCACTGCATTTTCACTCAATCACTTTCCACCCTCCATTTCTTTATTCTCTGTCTGTCTCTCACCTGGTAGCAGTTTTTCCTTTCAAAGAGCACAGGTTCAAAGCGGTGACCCCAGACGATCTCAGAGGCCAGGTATGAAGACCGGCATTGGGTTGTCATGGCAGTGGCCTCCACCATGCCCTCCAGAATCACAACCACTTCCAGCTCTTTGTCCCCCTCTAGTGTTAGTTTGTCCACCTCAAAGAAAGGGCTCTCCTCATCAATCTCGTGCACGATGGTCACAGGTGACACCAAAAAGATGCGATCTGTTCCATTGTCAAAGCCGACATTGAGGTCTGCATTGTCCAGTGGCAGGAACTCACCCTCAGGGGTCACCCGTGGCTGCAGAAAAGGTCAAAGGCAATGTTCATTTTCACACAGTTTTTAAGTCATTTTTATTGTTTGACAGAAATGTCCTCTAGGCAATTTAGTTTTAGTCAATATTTAGATATTTTAAAATTTATTAATAGTATTCCATTTTATTCTGACTGAAATGGCATTTGTTTTGTCAATAAAGATGTTTTAGCTGACGATAATATGCAAAAAAAAATGTGTCAAACTGTAACAGACCAAACTTTCTACCATTTTAAACATTATAAATATGTAAAACATAATGAAGATTTAACAACATAAAATATGCTAATTTGAGCCCTTGAAAATATATAGCCTGTATAATAAAAAAATAAAAAAACTCAACATTTTCCCTCAACATTAACATTGTTGAAGCATTGTTAATACCCTGCAGCAGCAGTGTTACTTTTTTATCTTCTCATATTTTAGTCTACAGTGTTAAAATGGCTTGATAATCGCTAGGTGTTTCTTTTTCGTCTCATCTTTATTATTGTTGACAATAAAATAAATAAAAAATAAAACATTTTCACCAGTAATTTCGGCCACCTTGTTGACTTTATCATAGCAACATTGCTTCATATTCAGACACGGAGCTATAAAAACCCGATAAAAGCTGTCTTTTATGGGAATCTATCATCTATTGTAGCGTTATAATGAGCAATACATTTTGTTGGTTGTTTGGTTTCTATTTTGTCACCCATGGAAGCCCTGTCAATGGTAAAATCTCATTGGTCCAAAACTCAGCTGCACATATTGGTCATCAACCAGCTAAAATTGTGTTCCATCACACAATATTTTCAGTGAAATTAATAAAAACTGTGCACATATTATCTGGTCAGGACACAGTTTAAGATTATTTAAGCAGATACAGGAAGTAATTCCATTCCATTTTTTTCCATATCTGTAAATCACAAAAAATAACAATGTCTTCATGATTCTATGTGTGTCATTTTATTCCAGTATTTTTATTCATTATGCAATAACATAGGAACTATTAGAGTGTATTATTTTATCTTTGGGACTTGTCTTATCTTCATGTTCAAACATCTCACCATCTAACCTCAACACATCAGAACCTGTTAGAAACATCCATGTAGACATGGACACGATAAAAGAAAAACATAAACACCGTACTCACAAACATAATACACACTAGGGATCGACCGATATGGATTTTTTAGTGCCGATACCGATACTGATTTTTTTCCCATTAGCCTTAGCCGATGACCGATACGGGCTGCCGATTTTCTTGAGCCGATATTTGGAGCCGATACATTTTGCTCCCTCAATTTACATCATAAAAATGACATGATGTTAAAAAATGTTACAGGTCTAAATTTAATAAAAGTAACATTTATTTAACGAAAAAAAATCAATATTTAACGAATAGTAAAAACATGTGAGGTAGAACAAGAACAAGTAGATAAACAATATTTAACAAATATTAAAAACATGAGGTAGAACAAAAAAAAGTTCACTGCTGAAAATAAATATTTAAGCATAAATAAAATAATTACACTATTGCACACAGTAGCAACCAGCATAATAAAGTGCACAGTGCACACTGTACTTCATTTTAAAAGTAACGAACTATTTACTGCCATGGTTTAAATTTTTCTACATAAAATAAAATGAGCATGTCTAGTCTCTAATATCACTGCGATGGCGAGGGAGACACACACCACACGCGTCCAAACCTCAGCCAGGTGGTCGCTGAATAAATCTCTTTAGCACGGAACAACGTTGGTATTACTTAATCCTATGACCAGTGTTCGTAACAGCTACCGTACGCATACTAGGGCTGTCAAAATTGCTCAAATGGCGTTTGTATATTCCCTTCAAAAAAACATATTTGAACATATCGTCGTGCATTTGGTCAATGACGCGCATTACGTCAATAACAGGACAAATTAATACAAAGAGACATAACTACTAGTATTAAGTAGCTTATTTGAGTTTAAACATATTTGACAACGTATTACTACAAAAAAAAACGAGTAAATCAACTAGTGGCCAAGACCGCAGAGCTCACTCTGGCTCGCCCGGACTCGCAGGCGCACTCTCTCTCTCTCTCGCACTCACCCTCACGCTCTCCGCGCACACCGGGTTAAATGAACAACAACAAACAAATGTTGAGTGCTGATCAAGAGTTTTGTGCAAGCAATTTAAGGTATACAGCAGGCTTCATTCAGTGATTGAAACAAATACATTAATTGAAGTTTCACAGTACATAGAACCGACACTGAGCGCTCCGAGCGAGCTGTGCTGTGGTAACGTTAGTCTGCTACCGCGGGCGTGTTTTTCCACATTCGAATATTAATTTTCACCTTCAAAATTCAGTTTTTTGAAACTATTCGAATATATATTCGTATTTAGAATATTCATTGACAGCCCTAATGCATACTGATCGGATAGCCTACAGCTATTTGCAGCTCCCTAAATACAATGGCAAGCAAGCAGTTTTATAGACGAGTCATTCGCGTTTTCCATTTGGACCCACAAACTTGCTTAGTTGCTTAGCTATATAGTTGCAACCACATAACAGTTATAGAGCAACGTGTTTCCATTTTCAAAGTGTTTGACAATATTTCAGCAGTCAAACAGTTAAAAGATGCTTTGAAAGTTTAAAAGTTACCGTTATCTTGAAGCGTAGGTTGCACTCTGCTAGTGGGGGAGGGGCAGTGCAGGGTCTGCACGTGAACTGCAGCGTCTCCAGCAGCACAGAGCTGCCTGTGGACGCCTGTCTATAAATAATGCCGGGAAAAAACTATCGGCGAACGCAGCAGCCGCGTATCGGCCGATTCCGATACACGTAAAAACCGCAAATATCGGCCCGATATATCGGCTGGCCGATATATCGGTCGATCACTAATACACACACATCAAGATTTCATTCACTGTAAAGCAAAACATACTGACACAAATACATTAAATCCGGCCGTTAAATGAAGTCACACGCACGCATGCACACACACACACACACACACACACACACACACACACACACACACAGGGCAGATAAATGAGACAATGGTTTGCTCTAGTAAAGTTAATCTACTCTACAAATCTTATAAACCTCCGGTATGAGGTTGAAGAAAACAAGCCCTCATTAACCACACCAACTGTCCAGATGTCAATCTCTCTCGTTCTTTTTCTCTTTCATTCGCTTTCTCTCATCTCGTCATGTTTTCTACCTTTGCGTGGTATTACTTTCTCATGTACACTACCCTTTAAAAGTTTGGGGATGGTAGATTTTGTCATCTTTTTGTCACTTACATCCAACAAGGCTGCATTTATTAGGTCAAAAAATATGATAAAATTGGTAATATTTTGAAATATTCTAATATGCTGATATGGTGCTTAAGAAACATGTATTATTATCAATGTTGAAAACGGTTGTGCTGCTTAATATTTCTGTGTAAACTCTTTTAAAAAACTAAATATAAAGTTCAAAAGAACGGAATTTATGTGAAATAGAAATCTTTTGTAATGTTATAAACACCTTTAATTACACTTTTGGTGAATTTTATGCTTAATAACAGGATTAATTTCTTTAAAAAATAATAATAATTTAAATTACCGACCCGAAACTTTTGAATGTTAGTGTACATTCACAGTTGGACTTGGTCTTGGTCACACCACATGACTTTGATTTGATGGACGAAGTTCCGAACGTAGTTTTTACATGAACGAAAAATAAAGTGATCGGGTTGATGTGCACGTTTCGTTGTGTTGTGGCTTTATTTAGTTGCGTTGTGTCTTATTTCCGTTGTGTTGTGGCTTAATTTCATTGTGTTGTGAACTTATATTTGCTTTTTCAATTTCGTTGTGTTGTGCACTACTGGGCCGATGAGCACATGAGCCGTTATGCCGTGCTGCTTAGATTAATCAAACAGCAAAAATGCCCCTTCCCGTGCCCAAAATAAAGTAGGCCTATCTGTGGATGAGAGTATGAGGGGAGGAATGATGGGACGTTGTCCTGCTCCACTTCACAGACGATGAGTTGTAGGTGAATCTTAGAATAACACCAGTCATTTATGACACTTTATTTAACAACTGCAGCTCATTCCGAGCGTCATACGTCATTACACCATTTCTACGTCATTGCAAATGCGCAGTCCTTTCCAGTATCGGTTTTCAATCTGATCAAGCGTTTACATGTCCTCTCGATCGGATTAGAAAAGGAATAAACCACCCCTTTTAATCCGATCGAAATTTAATTCGGATCGGGCCCATTCGGATCAATTAAGGTGTTTACATGAAGGCTTTACAGTCCGATTGATCCGCCAATCCGATTACTAATGGATTATTTGTTTGCATGTGTCTACAGCGAACGCGAGCATCTCGCTTATAATGAATCCATCCGACTTATCTGCACCGGGAGCATTTTTTTTTTTTACAAGATGCACCACAACTATTTGAGGCTGTTCACACTGGATAGGCCTACATCAAATTAAACTTTATAAACTGGAACATTTGTCTTTCTGAAGGAGTGCATAATTATGTTGTATTAAAGCGTTCATTGTAGCACGTTGCAATGCAATGCACTGTTTGCTTTGACATGTTAATGAGTCATAACCTATTTAATTTTTATCTTACTTACTTCAAGTCACGGGCGTTTATAGTGCCGCGCAGGGACCAGTCCATAAACATTTTTTCTACCAAATTACGCCGGTTGAAAAACATGGGGTGCTGCACATTATTCTGGCCCACCCATCATCCACTTTCTGCCTCCGCCACTTTGTGTGAATTTATTCTATTTTTTTATGAATATTAATAGACAGGACAAAAACAATGTGGTTACTAACTCTCATAAGTGTATTAGTTGAGTATTAGTAGACTGTTAGGGGTTAGAGTTAGCAGAATAAGTTGACATGTACATGCAAAGTTACTTATTGTCAGTAGAATCTGTTGGAGGACCATCACAATAAAGTGTTAGCAGTCAGATATTAGGCAGTCAGTCTACTAATACTCTACTAATACTCCAACAATAGTTAGCTGACATGTACAGCAGGTGCAACGTTACTTATAGTCAACAATGTCTAAAAAGAACCATCAAAATAAAGTGTTACCAAATTTGTTACCGATTTTAAAAAAAACATTTCAGACAAGACACACACACACACACACACACACAACGTCTTACTGACCTTCAGTATCTGTGCTCGTACATGGGCCTCCACCAGGTGGCTCTTGCGCATGTTTCCAACTCGCCACATAATGCAGAGTTTCCCGTCCCTCACGGCCACCACAGCCACATCCGAGAACACCAGTGTCTCATTGCGCTTCTTGGGCTTGGCGATCTTAGCCATTACCGCCCCAATGATGAAAGCGTCGATGATGCAGCCCACAATGCACTGCAACACGACAGCAAACACCGCCAGGGGGCAGGCCTCGGTAACGCTCCGGAAGCCGTAGCCTATAGATGTCTGCGTCTCTAGAGAGAAGAGGAACGCCGCCATGAAGCTGTTCACCTGCTGAAAGCAGCGTTCCTCTGTCTCCGCCACTGTCTGCACCGGGCCGGAAACCCCGGCAGGTTGCAGAGGGGCAAAAGAGGAAGAAACAGACGAAGGAGAAGAGGAAGATGATGCCAGGGAAGCCAGATCCCCGTGAGAGACGGCGATGAGCCAGAAAGCGAATCCAAAGAGAAGCCAGGAGAGCAAGAAGGAGAGGGTGAACACCACGAGCATCCAGCGCCAGCGGATATCCACGCAGGTGGTGAAGAGGTCGGTGAGGTAGCGCTGGCCCCTCTCGCTCATGTTGACGAAGGTGACGTTGCAGCGCCCGTCCTTGCCTACAAAGCGCCGCCGGGGCCGGCGGGACTGGCCGCGGCGATCGCGGGGCGGTGAGGGAGAGAGGGAAGGCGAGGATGCTCTCTTGCTCCTCTCCCACCTCCCTTCTGCCCCAGACTCCCCCTTGAGTGCCGAGCCACGCCCTCCTCCTTCTCCCCCCCTCCTCCCTCCCCCTTCCTCATCATCATCATCCTGCACATCATCATCCTCATCCCTCTCTTCACTCCTTCCTCCATTGCTGTGATGAAGGTTGAGCACTTTGCCATTGCAGTTGGGAGAAGGAAGCACGCCCGAATGGGAGGAAGTGACATCGTCACTTTGCGCCAGTCTCATGACTTCCTCCTCATCCAGAGGTGTATCCACAACTGCACTGAAGCGCCGCTTCACCCGAGCAGCCCCCATTACTAGCACACAGCACACAGAATAAAAGCGTTCAAGAGTTTGACAGATAAATCCAGGGTCAAAGTGGATTAAAAAATTGGGATGCTTGCGGTGATATAGATATATCCAAAATATGAGTCGTTGATTGTATTCCACAGCGAGGCTTATGGCCTGAAATAGTCCTTATTGTCATTCAGATCCCGGCAGCCAATCGTTGCCCAGAGACGGAACACAATCGCATTAGAGATCATCTCTGACATCATCAGAGTCCCTCTTTTGAAGATTCGCGTAGTCTCTACTTGGGCAATCTGTCCACCATAGGAAGCTGTCAGGTATACAATAAACTAGTATTCCTGGATTTTACAGAACGCAAATTTCCAAAGTTGTTAGATGCAGTGAATAAAGAAAAAAGTCAGTTTTAATGCAGTTTCTCAGCTTTAGAAATAGTTTTGACAAGGTCAGTTGGTGGGCAGAGACCAGACAGGGAAAACGATGCTGCTTTAGGCCTATGCGCAATGTATAGCAACTACATAAGAAAGAGAGCAGCTAAAAGGCACAAACAAACAAGGCGAAGCTCAAGCAGAGCAGAGAGATGCAGAAGGAAAGAAAGGAACTTATATAACATGAAGAGAAAAACAAAAACAAGTCTCAAGCTTTAGAACATATAGGGGAAGCAACAAATGTTTGACATGCATTAAAATAGTATAGAAAATATGAGAGTAATAAATAATGAAATAAAGGAATATAACAGCATGCATATACAGACCGATTTTTCCCTTTAGAACCTCTTCACATTTCCTTATTTAAATGGACGGATGTTTAAAGACACAAGAGAGACATGCAATTAATATGAAAACTAGTCAGCATTTCCTATAACTCCATAGTTGTGACCAGTTGTCTTCGATATTGAGCAAATATAACTCTGTGACACAGAGCAAGTCCATTTCCCAGTCATATTAGACATTGAAATAATTCAAACAGTCACAAGTGGCATTCTGTCACTGTCACATATCCACCTCAAGTCTGGTTTCATCCAGTCTCAAGGCAAGAGCCCAAAGAAAGGGTCATTTTGCTCTAGACAAAACTTGAAGTTCTGTAACTGAATTACTGGACAATATGTGATAAAGAAAGTCCACACATTACAATAGGAAGAGGTTTAGAGTGAGATGAATTATGACCTGTTGATGTACTTTGACCTCTCCAAAAGCTTAAAAATGCTAGACGATGCTTTGAGATCTTCCTCAGAGTCCAAGTCCAGTTTGGTCGTCAAAAACACACGCAATTGTTGAAATATCCCTAAAAGTGAACAATAGGCCAGACAAGCGTAAGCTGAAGCACAAATAATTACCTTCATGGATTTCAAAATAATGTGATTGAGAAACCAAAAGTTCAGACCTGATAAATGGTGTTACCTTTTCATACACCTGCTCTGAGAAACCTGTAGTTCGAGGCTTAATGAACGTAATAGAAAAGAGAATCTTTAAAAAGGAGTTCTAGTCATGAAAAGCCCACTTGCACAGGAACAAAGGATAACATGTGAAAAAAAAAAACACTCAAAAGAGAATTAACAAATTGGAGTGTGGAAAACGAACATTTCTAAAGTGAGAGGTGACAAAAAGATTAATCTTCAAATATCTGCTGCCCTCACACTGACATGTGTGGTAGAATATATAGGCAGGCCCCTGTCACGTTCCTTATTGTTGGAGTCTGCCGTTTTTTGCGTTGAGGACATCACAATCTAGAACTCCTAGAGAGAAAACATGATATGAAAGTTAATATGAAATTAAAGGCAAGATAAAAAAAAATACAAAAATATTTCTCTGTGACATGAAAACATGCTCAATATACTGTATGCTGATTATGTCTGATTATTCAGCTCTCAGAAACTGTCACAATTCCACTTACAGATTTATTTTATAGATTCATTTCATATATAAACAAATGGAAAATTACCAATGCTGGTAGTTAACGAAGTGCATAGATCATCCTCTGCCTTTTTTCTTTGCCCATTAAGTCAACAGAAATCTGCTGCAAAAGATAAAATATAAAGTAAAAGATTAGTGTCTTACTAAAAAAAAATCCTCTGTCCCTCAAATTAAATCAAAATAAATTAATAAAATACATGCAAACAAAGCCTGAGTAATTTCAAATGATCAAATCATGTTTATTTTAATTCCCTTTTTTAAATTTTTTTTTAGTTCCCAATAAAGACTTTTAATGTAAACAGCAGACTTGCTTCTGTTTGAAGAGGTTATATAAAAATAAGCAAAATGAAGGTAAATTTCTCCCACATGTAGTACTTAAAGGGGTGGTATAATGCCCCTTATTACAACATGTAAAATAAGTCTCTGTTGTCCCCAGAGTGTGTATGTGAAGTTTTAGCTCAAAATACCCCACAGATATTTTTTACAGCATGTTAAAATTGTCCCTTTTTGAGGGTCAGAAAATTGTCCCTTTTTGTCGTTTTTTTGTTACAATACTTTCCACTATCACGGTAAAAATTGCTGTTGCGTTTACTTTACGGTCCAGCATCAACAATTATATACATTTTAAAATTCCATTCTGTGCCACTAGTGCCATAGAAATTACACACTTCACTTAATCACCAAGCTACACATTTTCCCCTTTGAAAAGGCATGAAACTCTTCGAAACTCTACACGTTTGAGCTTTATTTTTGTTTTTTAAAATGGCTTTAAATATAACACTGAAAGCTAAAATATCCAGTTAAATACTTCTCTCACAAGTTTTTTCACAAAAATATTTGCTCACAGACAGTGTAGTCACAGTGCTTTCCATGTCATGTGTGTTGTTCACTTGGATCTGGTGAGTGTTTGTGCCTTATCTAATCACCAGTCTTTGACCTCTTTAACCATTACACATTATACTGTAACCCAGGGCTGTCTGTCTGTGTGTGTGTGTGTGTGTGTGTGTGTGTGTGTGTGTGTGTGTGTGTGTGTGTGTGTGTGTGTGTGTGTGTGTGTGTGTGTGTGTGTGTGTGTGTGTGTGTGTGTGTGTGTGTGTGTGTGTGTGTGTGTGTGCGTGTGTGTGTGTGTGTGCGTGTGTGTGTGTGTGTGCAGAATATTCTGTTTCAGATCTCATTAGAACACTAAACCTACTGATTAACACATAAACCAACACTGCTGAAAATACACCATTGGCGGAGAGCCATTCTGTTGATTGACAGCATTCATGTTCTCACAGCTAATGAGATCATCCACAGCAGTTACACTCTCATGGTTTTGAAGATTGTTAACTTTTCTATTCCCTTTAGCAAGTAGCTGTCATGATTTTACATTCAGTGAAGTACACAACGTAATTTCAGGAGGAGTGAACCCATCTAATCTTTCAATTAACTGTTTAAGCAGCCGCTCACCTTGCTCTGGCATCAGCTGTTTTGGCATCCCTCCCCCTCCCCAACTCCACCAACATAATTTAGGCATCTTGCTACCATACTCATCATCCAAGCATTAGTAGTCCTACCCGATCACACTAAATGCGTCTCTATAGCACGCAGTGTGTTTAACGTGTAATTTATACGCGAAAATTAGTTTTTACGTGCATAGGATACGCATGGGTTGGTTAGGGTAGGTTTAGTAGTGGTGTGGGGTGCGTGTGTATTATACGTTTGGGTAGAATCAGTGGTGTGGGGTGCGTGTGTATTACACGCAAATGAACTGCGTATCAAATGCACGCGAAAACTGCGTATCATATGCACGTAAAAACTCATTTTCGCGTATAAATTGCATGAAAATACACAATGCGTGCTATAGAGACGCATTTACGTGAGAACAGGCTGAGTAGTCCCACTGGAGGGTATATCTAAGCGTTGAAGCTGCTTCCTCGCGCCCCTCCACTGCGGACAGCAAGCCATACATACGCTTAACCTTATTAGCTTAAAGATTATATGGGCAAATGAACTTGTGAATTTATAGTTACCACCATTGCTTCAGTTACACTTTAGACATTCTACTAACTTTGCAACTACATGTCAACTACTCTAACTCTCATTAATTTGCCACAACATGTCAACTAACTCTTAGAGTATTAGTAGACTGTTAGGTTAGGGTTAGGGTTAGCCAAATAAGTTGAGGTAGTTGTGAAGTTACTTATAGTCAGTAGAATGTCTGTTGGGGGACCATTAATATAAAGTGTTAGCAGATATTAAGCAGAGAGTCTTCTAATACTCTAATGACGGCCAGTTGACATGTAGTTGCAAAGTTACTTATAGTTAGTTGAATGTCTAGTAGACTATTATTAATTATTTCCCTAAATAAAGACTGATATGAATGACAAAAAGTTGCTCCTTTTAGAAAAAGGTCAATTGCAAAATATGTTATTTTTAAAAGCACTCATGTGTGCTACAATAATTGCAGATTTGTAACCTGATAATACTCTAAAACTGTTTAAAACACTTTGTTATAATTGTATAATGCGTGGAAGGTTTATTTTTATTTTTAGGGCTGCACGATATATCATTTTAGCATCGATATCAAGATGTGGACATCCGCAATAGTCACATTGCGCAGGATGTGCAATGTCAAGTATAGGGATTGTAGTTGATCCGTACGGACCAGGCACCATGATTTGAAACGCACACAAATCTCAGATTGATTACAAAGTTTAACCATTATAAAGTGAAAGTTGACCATTTGGACGTGTTTTAGGTCCTGCCAGTTTAAACATTCACGTGATTTTAAACCATTTTAAACCAAAATGCCTGTCTCGGTGAGTAACCTCATAAACACAGTCGCTTTTGGCTTACGTGCAAGTAAACATTTGAGAAAGAAAACGGATGTGTATCAATATATTAGATCTGTGCATTCAGTCTTAAAGTGACATTAGTCTAATGTTCCTGCAGCTGTCTGTGTCATTAATCTTAATCAAACAAACTACAAAGAGAAAATCACTTTTGTATAGCTTTAACAGATTAATTATATTTAATGTATACAGTGAAGACAGTGTTGTTTTACATTTGATTACATTTCTGTACCTGAATACTGTTTAACTTACCTGAAAAACATAAAGCATTGCTTATTTCATTTGTAGCTTTGTTCTATTGTATTTTTCTATGCTTGTAATTTGTTTATGAACTGCAAATAAAAATACTAAAAGGATTTAAAAATTCAAAATTAAACATTATAAAATTGTGTATATATATACATGTATATATATATAAGTCTCAAATGATTAAGAAACATTTTTGAATTTGAAAACAAGTTTTCAAATAAGTAAATTGTAGCACTGACCATGTGAACTTATTTGTACAAAAGGTCATTTTCAATTTTGGTCATTTTCAAATAGCTGAATAACATGATTGTTAAGCTGATAATATAATTGTAAATGAAAAAAGTATTTTAAATTGTTGAAAACAGTTCTTAAGAGTTGTCAACAATTTCAGTGAACTTCACGTGTACTAACACGGACTCTCTCACTTTCTCTCTCCGTATCACTCTCTTTAACATGTTGGTGGTGTCTGGTGAAACCTCCCATGCTGCTTATGAAAACTGAGTGCTACTCAAACACCCCTGATCTTCTCCAGCACGTGCAGCATTCAGAAGGTCCAAGATACGGTGCCAAGGTCAGCGTGATATGCGGACGCTCTAGAATAACTGCTGGCAGAGAGCCAGAGCCGCAGTGCCAAGCTTATGTCGGGGTGGAGTGCCCTGATCAGACTGCAATTAACAGGAAACTAGCGTCTATGCAAATCTATGCAAATCAGCTCAAATGTTACACAACAATTAACGTTTGACTGCATAACAAGGTTAATAGCTATGTTCCATCTGACCCCCGAATATTTTAATAAAAGAAAACGGGTTGTGAAAAGGAGCACAGTTAAAACATTTTCACTATTGTTCCTAAACATAAAAATGTTCCAGGACACTACATATAAATATCATTATTTTCAGAAGTTTATTCTCTATGACCCCTAGGCACTCAAACTGCATTCGTCACTCTATCCACCCTGTATTCTCTCTCTCTCTTTGTCTTTCTATCCCTGTCCCTGATTACATGTCCATGTTCAAGTGTTATGAAGGGAGATTAAGGTCCATGTGAAAATCAATTCAATAACATTTCGTACAGTGAATAACCTTTTGATCTCTTCCTCCCTCCCATACTCTCTGTTTCACCTTTTCAGAAAGCTGATGGGGATAATCTTATAGAGAAATGTACGCTATTATTACATCAGATGGCTGATGTCATGCACATTTCTATGGTAGAGTATGTGAAAGTAATTTTACTTCAGCTAGGACTGACAACACAGGCTCATATTCTAGGCTGTAAAAAATTATAACCTAAAAATGATGACATATAAATTAACTGGTTTTATTATATTAAGTCAAAAATAATATTTATATATATATATATGTACACACATTTATATAAACCATATATATTGCTGAATCAACCTAAATACTTTTATTTACCAACACAATTCATTTGTATGTGTTAAATCAAGTAAAATAAGGCAACAATTGCAAATTACCACTTTCTACAGTGTATGTACTGTATGCTGGTTAAATACTACAGAGACTTTACAGATAAGAAACATTCGTTAGTAAAGTGACAAGTAGTATGCTTGTCTTTTATTTCTAGTATTGACCATTTTATGTGATCAAGAAGCACATGGCAGACTTGCATTGATATTCCACAAACATTCTGGTAAGGTTTTGTCTTAAACCATGAATTCTAGGAATGGGAATCCTAAGGAATTTTATGTTTGTGGTTTGATTCTTATTAAAGGGATAGTTTAAGAATCAGGACAGCCTAAAATGAAAATGAAGTCATCATTTACTCATTCTGGTGTTGTAATGTTATGCAGCACGTTTGAGCTTTAGCACGAACCAATGAGGTTCATTCAAGTGTTACGCAGCACATTTGAGCTTCAGCAAGAACCAATGAGGTTCATTCAAGTGTTACGCAGCACATTTGAGCTTTTGCAGGAACCAATGAGGTTCATTCTCATGTGTTACGCAGCACGTTTGAGCTTTAGCACGAACCAATGAGGTTCATTCAAGTGTTACGCAGC